TATATATATATATATATATATATATATATATTTCAGTAGTGTGTAATGTTGTTCGTAGTGTGACGACCATGACGGGTTGTTACAATCATATTACAGATAATAAAAAATGAAAAAAAATCAAATTTAATTTTTCTGAAAAATTATTTCTACATTAAATAAAATGTGAGATTATATATTTATGTGTGTGATTACTAAAGTTGTTATTAAATTGATAATAAATAAATTCTTTTTCATTAACGATTTTAAGAGAATATCAATAAGACAAATAAAAAAATGATTTCTTTTTAGAATTAGAAATAAGTATATGACTTTTGTGAGAAAAAATGTGTAAGAAAAATTGTCGCATAACCAATAAGATTATATCGTAAAATTTATTTTAAAATATTTTAATATTATCAAAATAATTTCAAATCAATAAATACAATAAACTATATATAATATCTGCATTTAAAAACAATATCCGTACTCAATTCCATATTCGCACGGGTAACAATTTTAATCTTCATTCTCATACCCGTTGGGTACTTGTGTACCTATACCCACATCCACAACTTTCATTTTATCTATGTATAAAGTAAATAAATCAATAAAGAGATAACATTTCACACAAATAAACATAATATTAATTTATCATGTCCTTAACATTACAATTCTTATAAATAAGGATAACGAAACATTTAATTCTTGTAATTAAATTTATTAAAAAAAATTCAACATAAATAAAAGTTATAATTAAACTTCCAACATCAAGATCATATGTTAATAATATTTTCTAAGATTTGTGAAAAAATTGTACAAAAATTAGTAAAATTAAAATTATAGATTAAGTTATATACTATAAATTTCAAAAGTTAAATATAAAGACATTTGACCTCATCATTGGAATCAACTTCTTCATATTTTTGCAAACGTTTATCTTCCAAGTGTATATATTATTTTGGTCCAGTAATATCAATAGAAACTACATAATAAGAAAATGAATGATTAGATAATTTAAAGTAATAATTAAAACCAAAAATAAAAAATAAGAATAAATTTTATTAAATGAACAAAGTTTAATTATTTATTACTTTATTACTTGTGTTTCAACCAACTTTTTGCACACATAAGTGTCTTCGGAGTAAATTCATGGAGCTTAAAACGATGAGTATTCAAAAATCTACCTCCTATGCTGAATGCAAATTCTAAAGCTATGATTAAAATTGAGATTACCAAAACATATTTAGCAATTTTTTGCAAAATTGGATAATTGATCCCATTTGTTTTCCACCATCCAAAAATGTCAAAAGTACCACTCTTAGGAAAAACTTTTTCTTTCCAATAGAGCTCTATTTTATACTTTGTTTTATGTTTCAATTGTATCATTTACACATGAGTCATAATCACCGATAAAATTACTAATATTTAGGTTATCCATGTTTAGTTCATTGACATTTGCTCGTGAAATTGAATTTCTCACTGTTTCCTTAATTTTAGTTTGATACTCTTCAAAATAATGAGTAGCAGATGTTATTGATTTCAATTAAAGATGAGCTATTATAAAACCTAGGGAAAAAGAACTCAAACAACTTTAATATTTATTTTCGATCTAAAATAATAACAATATTATTATATTGATTAATATATATATATATATATATATAAATAACTGTTGTAACACCCCTTTATCATAAAATATAATATAAGTATTTTATTAATAATTTTGATATTTTTATTTTATTAATTGAGATTGTTGAATTTTTATTTTAATTATGTAATATATTTTAGAATATATTATATGATATTTTATTAAAGAATAGTATAACATTTTATTAGAAAATGAAGGGATCTTTAGGATAACTATAGACAGTAATGTTTAACTAGAGATTAAAGGTAGGTTAGGATTTAAAAAAAAAAAAGAGTTTTCTAATCAAAACCTTTTTATACTCTATTTTCATGTACATGCTTTAGAGTTCAGAGAACAGGAGCAGAAAGAAAATCACCCCAAAGTTGTGCACGTGTCATCTATAGCTTATCCAAGTAAGGGGAAGTGAAAAACCTCATTTTGGGTGTGGTTTTGTATGTCAGATAGTGGGATTGACTCCAATCTTGTGTTTGTCGAATGTTCATGTATGAAAGATTTTTCCTAATTATATCTGTTTTACTTTTTGTTCTCTTTGCATGTTCTAAATGATGTGAATTGTATGTATGTGTTAGTAATTTTCAAAATTGGGTTATAAATTGTATGTTTTGATGTTCTTGTGGGTTCTTATGGAAACCCTAATTAAAGGAATGCATTAGGGGTTATACAAAGAGATTGTCTGAGTATGAAATTACATGCATAAATTATGTTGTTTAGAATGTTTATTACGTGGTTTGGAAAGCTTCTATCGGTTGAATTGTGTATTTGGTGAATTAGTGTGTGTCTCATAATTTTTGCGTTTTCTGATGTGCAATTTTTGATACGTTGTCGGCCGTCACATGGGTGCACTAGGTGTCATTGAGATAGAGAGAAAAGTTTTCTCTCGAGGTCTCTCACACTAGTTGGGGGATGACTCTTATTGGGCATAAAAGCTTTAGGGGTTCCTTGTGACGCTTCCGTTGGGTGTGAGCTAACTCTCACTAGGTGTGGACGCTCCAAAGAGATCTCGGTGGTGTTCTCACTAGGTGTGGACTTGGTCATGTCGGGCACAATTTAGATAGAGACTAATGTGGTCCTTTGGAGGTATTGTGTCGACGCGGGATGTGTGTTGTTGGGCGTCGTCCAGCCTATGAATTCCCTGTTGAAATTTTGTTAAATTTAATGATGTAATTCTTGTATTGTAATGTTGACATGGATGTGAAATGAACTTTGTTGATGAATATATGAAGGCATGTGTGATGAGTAATGAGACATGATGAATACGTTAAATGTGAGATCATGGAATCATGTGAATGTAATGCATTGAGTCTGATTGGTATGCATCATGTGCATAAAGATGTTTTTAAAGGATACGATGTGGAATACACCACCAGAGAAGGTCCCTTGTGTAAAAGCATGGAAATCAACCTTGGGGATAACTAGATCGGTTTGGAAGTCCTAGTCCTATCCTCGTGAGCATGAGATGTATCTTACACGACTTAACTATCTGACCAGATCCTAATAGTATGTCATTTTAGTGAGAGTGCACAAAAGGTATGACCTGACATGTATTCCTAGACTATTCTAGTGTGTTGCTAGTGACAATATACAAGTGTGATGTTTTTACTAACTTCACATGCATGATAACATGTAGTTTGTGCCCATTGTATAAACATTATAATTTTATCTATTGTTGTTTATTATGCTATGAATGAACTAATTATGATGATAATGGATAACTATGTATGTTATATATTACTATATGTTTTGTTTGTGTTTGACTAGTCAATTGCATTCCTCCACCGTGAACTAAAATGAGATGTTTCTCACTCCTTTTCTTTGTGTTATAAGTTTAGATATGTTAAAATGTGATTCTTTCTACTTATATGAATTTTGAGTTTATATATTTTTTATATTGAGGTATTTCAGTTTTATATTATATTATGTGATATGGCATGAGGGGTAGAGGGTGTCACATTTAATGATATTAGAGCCTAGTTGATTCAAATTGGATGTGTGTGTTGTGTGTCTACCTACATTTTCATGTGTTCTCTGATTATGTATTTGTTATGCTTGATGTGATAGTTAATTGTTTGTTGTTATGTATAAGAATTATGGCTAGTAGGAATAATTGTGCTATTGTTGACGCCTTTCAAACGTTAGCAAGAGTTATAAAGATTGATAGGCTAGAACTGCTCCTAGTTGGTTGGCGATTTCAGCATAACCATCTACCCTTTTTCAAGGAAGGATATGACCTAGAAAGCATGATGATTTGATTGACAGATATTGAGAAGATCTTTAAGGCTATGGAATGTCCTAAAACTTAGAAAGTGAATTTTGTTACCTTCATGTTGATGTATGATGCTGACTTTTGGTGGGAAAGAGCTTTGCAAAGGATGATGGTTGAAGCAACACTAGTTAATTGGGGTAACTTTAAAAGGGTTTTCCTTGGGAAGTATTTTCTTGATGATGTGAGGAGTCAGAAAGAGGTGAAATTCCTTGAGTTAAGGCAAGAAGATGGTACTGTTGCTGAGTATGTTGCTAAGTTTGATGAGCTTGTATGCTATTGTTCTTGCTACCATGGTGAGGGTGGTGAAAGGGCTAAGTGCATTAAATTCATGAATGACCTTCATCTTGAGGTTACGACGATGATCAACTATCAAAAGATCTATCACTATCCGTCGCTCGTTGACAAGTGTAGGATCTACAATCGTGACAATCGTGCACATCCTACTTTCTACAAGGGAGTTGGTCCTGTTTATGATGGGAGATTCAATGGTCGGAGTAGGAGTAAGCCTTACTCCGCTCTTGTTAAGTTTCAAAGGAATCGTGCTAGAGGTAATGAAAGTAAGTCTGTTGTTGGAAGCTCTTTTGTGAGTGGTGCTACTAGTGTAGGAGGCTCTATTTCTATACTTTTTGGTAGATGCAAGAAGTGTGGGCAACATGAGCATGAACACTATAATTGTCCTAACAAGGAGATCACGTGCTTCAACTACAATGGCAAGGGTCTTATTAGTAATTAGTGTTTGTAGTTGCCAAGGCCATACGTAATTAGAGTGGGAACTAATTCTCAATCTGGGTGTCCGAAGACTACTAAAAGATTATTTGCTTTTAGTGGTGTTGAAATTGCTTAGTCTAACAATCTAATACATGGTATTTGTCTCATAGTTGAGAATCATTTTGTAGTACTATTTGATTATGGTGCAACACATTCGTTTATTTCTCTTACTTATGTCCAAAAATTGAAATTTATATTATTCTAAGTAAAACTTAAAAAAGAAAGATGTACATTGAATATAATCATATTGTTGTGCATTTCAATATTGACTATGTAAAGAAAATAACAATAGAAAGCAAGCATAAAGTTGAAGGTAAATAATAAGCTGTTGAGATTGAATTTTATCTATCTCACTCCTTTGCTCTGCTAAGATTATCTAAATATGATTCCTATCACTCAATGTTATTGTATTTTCAAAGATTGTTCTAAATCAATTCCTTGTCTATAAAAAATTCTAAGGATCCTACTCCTAGTTTAATAATTGATTCCTCAATTTATTAAATTAGATTCATTACATTAAGTATGAGAATTTGTTCAACTAACGACTATAAATCTATTCCTAACCTTTAGAATCATTAGATGATTTAATTTAAAACGGATTTAGAAAATATTTTCTAACCAAAATCTAAATCAAAGATCAAAAGATGATTGATTAGTTCACCTTAAGCATTAAGAACAAAATCAAATCACTAACATTGAATAATAGAATATCATATATAGAAATAAAAAAGGATTACATAAGAGTTTGATGGATTACATTCAATTCCAATAAAAGAGTGGATTAGCTAGTTATAGTAATGATAGCAAACTACAAATACAAAGAAAGTGTAGAAGAAGAGGAACCTAAAATCCCCATCCCTAGATAACTCTTGAAGTTGTTCTTTTCTTTAACTTTGTTCTTGCTCTATTCTACTATAACTGATAGTGGCTTTCTCTCTCTTGATCCCTCAAATATGTCCAACAACTAAAATAGAGTAGGCATGAAAGAGATCAATCTGTTCATCCCTTTTCAAACTATTGAGCGAATTTTGAGTTCTTCAATGTGAAAAAAGTTCTATCAACTAAGTCAATTCCAATATGCCGAGCCCTTAAGGATCTAGATTTTCACCTCTCTATAGACCAAATTTGCTCAGTCCTTTCCAAACAAGCGAACAAATTTTGTTCTATAGCCAACCTTACTTTCTGCCTCTGATCCACTGCGCCTTTGTAGAACAAACTAAGCAGATTTGAGGGGTTTTTGAAGTCTCAGGACTTCATTCAATCTACAAAAGAAAACAAGGGTTCATAAGTACAAAATTCATCAACTCTTCATAAATTATCCTATTTACAAATCTTTTGATTCTTACAATATTTTAGGGGTTAAAACACAAATTTCTTTTAAACCTAGTTAGATAAGTGTCAAAATCAATTCATATATATTAAATATAGACTTCTATCTTGCATGAAAGTATTTTTAGAAGTTCTTCTTGAAGGAGAGGAGTTGTAGAGACTTTTTTAACTTTTTATCTAAGTCGATTTTTATTTATCATAATCATTTATGAATTAAATATTAACATTTTAAAATAAATTATCAACATTAAAAAAATTGTTACAATATAAACTATTTATCATAAATTTAAATAATTTTATTATACTTTATATATTCAAACATAATATATATATATATATATTGTAAATTTTAATTATATTATATATAATAAACATGCATGTACATTACATATATAGACTAAAATACGAGTAATAATAATTTCTAAATAAAATACACACTTATCACAATGTTAACAACTTTGTATAATAAAATTTTTATTTTATAATTAATTATAGTTAATTTATAAATAAAAATTTGTTTATAATTATTTTATGATTAAAATACTTTTTTTACTTCTTATAATTTTATTTATTTTACTTTTTAATTCTTATAATAATATAATTTAAAATAGACTTTTGTTTATAAAAAAAATATTAAATATAACTGTCTCTTTCTTTAGAAAATATATTAAATATAAAACTTCATTGTTATATTTATGTAATTAAGTGCGGTTAGTAGTCTATTAAAATTATTAACTTATTGGAATGGAATCTGCAAGATAATGAGTTCACTTTTTGTTCATCAAAATATTTTCCTGAGATACATTGGATGACCAATTACTGGTGATCCTTTATTCATAATTTCATATAATAATAACTGTTTCGGTATGTCTAAAAGTTTCATATCGATTAATAGTCGAGGTTAAGGATAGTTTATAAATATTCTCCCTCTTTAACTCACTAAGGCGTCTTTTAAAAAACAAAACCATGATGATCCAACGAGTACCAAAGTGAATAATACCTCGAAAACGCTAGAAGGAGGGCCTAGGTCACTCTTGTCCCTTAGCATCGACTAAGGGGTTTGTTCCGGTATGCTTAAAAGTTAGTTTCACATCAATTAAGAGTCGAGGCTAATGATAATTTATAAACACTCTCCCTCCTTAATCTATCGAGGTGCCTTTTAAAAAATAAAATCGTGACGGCCCAACGAGTATCAAAGCAGACAATACTCCAGATGTGGTTATGGTAGGAACAGTATTCATGTTAATGAAAATATTATATTAAATTTGACTGATGATATATAATCGTCTCATTTTATCACTTTTATATATGTTGGTAACTTAAGAGATTAAAACAAGATTTTTAAAAATTACATGAACTAAATAAAGTATTTTTGTCTCCACAGTCCACAATGCTGCTTCGACGGTTTGTTTTTCTGATTTTGTGCTGCTGAGGGCTGGATAACGCAGGGATCCGTCTAGGGGATGTGCAGTCATTCATAGGTTTTTCTGCCCCAACTTTATAAGTTAGTGTATGGACATGAGGCTATCCTTCCTATTGATATTAACTTACAATCAATTCATATACAGAAACAAAATGAATTACCTATTGATGATTATTGGAATTTAATGTATGATGAGTTGGTTTCTTTAGAAGAGGAAAGGTTAATTGCGTTGCAAAATATTGTTCGACAAAAGGAAAGAGTCGAGAAATCGTACAACAAAAGGGTTAAAACACAGCAATTTCGAGTTGGGGATTTAGTGTGAAAAGTGATTCTTCCTATGGATCAAAAATCTCGATATCTAGGTAAATGGTCTTATAATTGGGAAGGTCCCTTTGTAGTCGAACAAGCATATTCGAAAAACGCATACGTTATTAAAGAAATAAATTTGAATATAGGCAAAGTGATGAATGGAAAATATTTAAAGCATTTCCATAACAGAGCAGAATAATTTGTCCGACAGAAGCCAAAGAAAAAAAAAATCTAATTATTACAGAATTTGGACTTAAACTCTTTGAAAGCTTTGTAAGCCTCGTCCAAACGTTTTCTTCGAGAGGTGCATTGAGCTTCCAAGTGTTTCTTCTGCTCTAAGGTTTTCGCAAGTCGAGAAGATATGACCTTGCCTTCCTCTTTGAGACTTGTTTGACGCTGCTTGATATCTTGACTTTGAACCTTAATGGCATCCTTCTTCGAGCGAGCCTTATCTAACTCATGTTGGAGAGACCTGATGGTGATCTCTATATCCTTTTCTTCTTGTTGTAATTTTTGCAGAGAAGACACCATTTCTGCCGTTGAGTTTTTGATCGTAAGCAGGTCCGTTCGGAGCTTCTCGAGTTTAGCACGGTCTTCTTCGCTTTCAACCTCGACATGGGTGACCTCTTGAAAAGCAGTGGACCATTGAGATCGAAGGTCCCATGCGAGGCTAAAGGGTTGGACAAATTCTTGCAGCTCAGAATGGACCTGAGGAGGAAGGTTGGAATAAGATAATAGATCATCCATCATTTGCTCAACCTCTGTCTTGAACTCAGGAAGGAGAAAGGCCTGGTCAAGATCTTCGACATACGCCTTTGATCGAAAAGAGTCAAGTAGGGGTTGATATGATGGAGTCTTAGAAACTTGCTCAACAACTTTAACTTTTTCTTTTTCCGACTCTGAAGGACCACTTGTCCAATTATCCAAGACCTCGAAGATACTGTTAATATCTTCATCTTCATCATTGAAGAAGCTCATCAAATCTAAGTCATGAGAAGGAATGGACGAAAGCCCTTGAACAGAAGTCGAAGGGGAAGTAGTAAAAGGTTTGGGAGACTCGGTCGAACCTGTACAGAGAGAGAAAATATACATAAATTTCGAAGAAAAAACACTACAAACGAGTAAGGTTGATAAGGCATATACCCTTGTTCGGACTCAAGGGGGGTTGCAGCTCGAAAGAGGGTTCACCTTGTACAGAATCTTGCAATGTCTTCAGAGTTTTCTAGGGTGTAGATTCAATAACCTTGTCCCCTTCGACTTGGGGAATTTACCTTAAATTTGAGATATTAAAAACATATTTAAATCATTTTTATTTATTAATAAAAAAATTTCAAATATTAATATTTAATTAATAAATAATTAAAATAAATAAAATTAAATTGAATAAAATTTTAAAAATATCTATAAATTCTTGCTTGTTGAAAAAGAGTCCCTAAAAATATTCTGGTAAAAAACTTCATATTTAATATATAGGAATCAATATAATTTAACTTTTTAAATCTAATTCAATTTTATAGAATTAATTTATAAATTAAAAATTATCTTTCATTTATCCACATTATTTTGACTTTATTATCTGTCCACATGAAATTTTTCACAAAATTTTATATACGAAAATGTCGCATGGATTATATAATTTTTGTCAAATAGTAAATCAGATTAATA